AGGCAATAGAGGCCTCATAAAATGGATTTGGAAATGCTGCCTCCTCTTTGAATTTTTGGAGAAGTCTGAGAAAGACTGGTGCTGATTCTTCCTTAAATATTTAGTAGAATTCACCAGTGAAGCCATCTAGCCCTGGCTCTTCTTGTTTGAAGATTTTTGACTGCTAATTCAATTTCCTAATTTGTTATTAGTCTGTTTATATTTTCTATAACTTTTACCATCTGATCCAGTAATTCTACTCCTGGATATATATTCAAAAGAACTGAAATCAGGGTCTTAAAAATATATCTTCATTACCATGTTTGCATGCATTCTCAGTTGCTTCAGTAGTACCTGACTTTTTGCAACCCCATGAAGAGTAGCCTGCCAGGTTCCTCTCTCGATGGGGTTCCCCAGGCAAGAATACTGGAGTGGGTTGCCATGACCTCCTCCAGGGGATCTTCCTGACCCAGGGATCAAACCCGTGTCCCCTCATTGCAGGCAGATTCTTTACCCTCTGACCCATGGGGGAGGCCCATTTACCATGTTTATTGTAGCATAATTTACAACAGTCAAGATCTGGAAACAACCCACACTTCCAACAACAGATGAATGGATAAAGAAAATGTGGAATATGCACAGAATGGAATGTTATTCAGCAATTTTAAAAAAAGGAAATCCTACCACTTGGGATACCATGGATGGACCCAGAAGTAAATATTATGTATACTTTTGTGCATGCTAAATTGCTTTAGCCATGTCCGACTTTTTGCGACCCCATGGACTGTAGACTGTCAGGCTCCTCTGTCCTTGGGATTCTCCAGGAAAGAATACTGGAGTGGGTTGCCGTGCCCTCCTCCAGGGGATCTTCCTGATCCTAGGACCGAACCCACATCTTCTGTGCTTCCTGTATTGCAGGTGGATTCTTTACCACTGAGCCACCAGGAAGTCCATCTATATCTCTACATTTTAATAAAAAAATTCATTTTTCATTTTAAATGCTCTTTTATCTAAGTAACAACTGCTTTTTTTTTTTTTTGACTGAAGCAAAAGCTAAAGTGCTACTCCATGTACTTCTTGCCTTTCAAATTCAATCGGGTGGCAAACAATTGCATCATCTAGTTCTAATTGCTTAAAAAGCATGTTATATAAATCAGCTGCACAACCAGAGACACCTTCTTACTCTGACATTGCTTCATTTGGTTCAATCATCACTTTTTCTTTATAGGATCTGTTTTTTGCAATTAATTCTCAGAGATTTCTGGAATATAAAGTTCAGACCTAAAACTTCTCATGGGCTATTTCAGCAGTTGTGGGGTCCCAGAACCCAAACTTGGAAGGGGCAGAGAAGTTCTGGGGCTCAGGTACATGGCCTGGAGGTGTGTGAGGTGAGGGCCAATTTGGACTGTACTTGGGGGAGGGGAGAGGCCAATCTACAGTTGTAGCAGCATTTCTTACCTGCATGCACGTGTTCCTCTTATGGCACCAACCATCTGAAAAGTAGACATCAAAGTGCAGCTTAGCTCGAGGCTCACACAAAGTTCAGAGGGAAGACTGGAGATGCAGCATTGCCATGGAAAATATTATGTCTGGAAATAAGTCAGTCATAGAATTACAAATATTGAACGATTCCACTTAAATGAAGTATTTAGTATACTCACAGATGCTGACAACAGAATGGTGGTTGCCAGAAGACGGGGGAGGAGAAAACTGGGGATTTTTCAGTGGTTATAAAGTTACAGTTATATATAAGATTAATAAGCTCTAGAGACTGGCTGTACAACATAGGGCACATAGTTAACATAAGTTGTTCACTTAAAAGACAGTAGATCTCTTGCTATATGTTCTTACCATTAAAAAAAAGTGCAAGGGGACACAGGAAATCTTTTAGTGGTGATGAGTATTTTTTAAAATTTTATTTTATTTAAGTATAATTGATTTACAATGTTGTGTTGGTTTCTGGTATACAGAAAGTGATTTAGTTATATATATAAATTCTATTTAATATTCTTTTCTATTATGGTTTATTATAGGATATTGAATATAGTTCGCTGTGCTATACAGTAGGGCCTTGTTGTTTATCCATTCCATATATAATAGTCTCCATCTGCTAATCCCAGACTCCCAATCCATCCATCCCCCCTCCCTTGTGCCCCGGCAACCACAAATCTGTTTTCTATGTCTGTGAGTAATTTGTTTCATAGATAAGTTGATTTCTATCATATTTTAGATTCCACATATAAGTGGTATCATATGCTATTTTGTCTTTCTCTTTGACTTACTTCACTTAGTATGATAATCTTTAGGTCCATCTAAGTTGCTGCAAATGGCATTATTTCTTCCTTTTTATGGATAAGTAGTATTCCATTGTATATATGTACCATATCTTTGTCCTTCATCTGTCAATGGACTTCTGGGTAATTTTCATATTGTGGCTATTGTAAATAGAGCTGCTACAAACATATGAGCATATGGATCTTTTCAAATCAGAGGTCTGTCAATGGATATGTTTATTACCTTGTTTGTGGTGATGTTATCATAGGGTCCAGAATCATTAAAATGTATACATTAAATACTTGCAACTTTTGTATATTGTCTCAGTAAAGTTTAAAAAAATAAAAGAAGATGAACACAAAACTGAGAATTTCAAGTGGTGGTAAATACATGAAGAAACTGGAATTTTCACTCACTGCTAGTGGACTATAAATTGCTAAGACCAGAAATCTATTTGGCAGTATCTACTAATACAGAATAATACTGAATATATGTACATCCTGTGGCTACTAGTACTGAAGATACATACATTTTCTGGTAATATTATACTAGGTATATATCAAAATCAAATGGATAACTATGTGCATCAACAGGTACAAAAATATTCATAGCAGCATAATTTTTACTCACTCCAAACTTTAAACAACTCAATGTTAAGCAATATTAGACTAGACAAATAAATTTTGGAATTACATAAAAAGGAATAAACTACTACTATATTCTTTAACATGTATCAATCTTACAAATTTTTATTGAGTGAAAAGAGCCACACAAGAGAATATACTATGTGTGGTCATTTATAACCATTCAAAAGCAGGCAAAACTAATTCTGGTTATAAAATTCAAAATAGTGGCAATTTTTGTGTGGGTTGTGATGACTCAGATGGAGTATAAGATTTTTATATTTATGGTAAACATCTAAAAATCTTGATGCAGGAGGTGGTAACACAAGTTCATTCATTTTGTTACCAAGATATACACTAGGGATTATTGCACTTTTGTACATATGTCATCTCTTAACAATTATTTACACACATCCATTCAGAAAATTTTTTAAATTGTATTTCATTAATTTTTGGTGAAGGCGTAGGGCAAGGGGTACTCACATATTTAGGGTACAAATGTCAGTTGTAGCAGCTACTTAAGGAGTAAAAATCTACTACTGAGATTTAAGATGTTGTCCATCTAGCACTTCCACATGTTAGTATCTTTCCCTAGAGAACACTTGGATATATGTGCAAAAAGGCACAAACACACGTTGAAGGTAGCAACATTTCTAATTAAAACACCAAAAAAGAAACAAATATGTCCGAGGGAAAAGGAATCATAAGTTAAATCTATCTATTGGTTCTGAGAACTACCATGCAGTATTTTAAAAGAAAGAGGGAAATTTATATATATATATGGAAAGATCTCAAGGATATAATGTTGATTGGGGGGAAAAAACCAACATCTACAGGTATGTAAATGCAGAGGATTAGAAGTCACCATATGTGAAAGTCACTCAGTCGTGTCCCACTCTTTGCGACAACATGGACTATACAGACCATTAAATTCTTCAGACCAGAATACTGGAGTGCGTATCCGTTCCCTTCCCCAGGGGATCTTCCCAACCCAGGGATCGAACCCTGGTCTCCGACCCAGGTCTCCAACATTGCAGGCGGATTCTGTACCAGCTGAGCCACAAGGGAAGCCCAGAAGTCACCATATAGTGACTGGTTTTTAATTACTCCCTGAAAACAATTAGCTAATGTGTGATGTTTAGATTTATAATTATATGTAATTTAACATGAATAATAGCATTTATAATGTCTTTGGAAGGATACCCAAAAAATCAGCAACACTCAAGTTGTTGACTTCAATAGGCGAACCGAGTACCTGAGAACCTGGAAGCAGAATTCCCTCTATGTAACTCTCCAGTGCTTCATATATTTGAACCGTCTAACTGTAGTTATCTACAGGAAAAGTAGTTTCATTAAAATATAATCTGAAGTCAAACAATAATGGAGGTCAATTTCGAGCGAAAACCTACACAAATATAAAAAAATGTGACTACTATTAAAACTGATTGGGAAGATCCCCTGGAAAACGAAATGGCAACCCACTCCACCATTCTTGCCTGGAAAATCCTACGGACAGAGGAGGCTGGCGGGCTACAGTCCACAGGGTCACAAGTCGGTCACGACTTAGCAACTAAACCACCACCACCACCACCACATTAAAACTGAAGTGTTAGGCGCTAGGAGCACAGAGAGAGTATCCTAAATTGGGGTGGGGCTGGGGCTGGGGCCGGGGCCGGGGCCGAGAATTCAAAGCTGAGGTAACTCTTGAACAGGGAAATTTAATGTCCTACTTTTCCACTTCTGGAGCGCCCAAGGGCCCTGAAATCCAGTCCCATGATTATTTTCCAGAGTTGGACCCTAAATTGTCACCAAGAGGCTGGGGGAAGCCAGAAGAAAAGAATCTATCAAGAGAGCGAAGGGACGCATCATAAAACCCTGCAGTACCGGATTCGCGAAAATTCAGTCAGCCGGAGTTTCCTATTCCCACTCTCGCCTCAGGGCCGGCCGGACCGCCCCTCGCGCCTTCCCGCGACGCTTACTGGACAGTATACGATTGACACAGTCACTCACCAATCGCCGCTCTGCTATAGGGGTTCTCTGGCCCTTACCGGGTCTTTGGTCCCCGGGGCGAGATGCGACCTCTGTGCGTCGACGTCAGCGTGTTGACGTCATAGGCCGGGTACTCTAGGAGGTCCTGGGGCGACAGAACGCGGGCGGTGGGCTACGCGACTTCAGCAGGACTAGATTTCTGGTCCCGCCCCGCCGAGCCCCGCCCCTCCGCCGGCAGAGACTGCCGCGGGCGCAGCCACAGAGCCGCGGTCTCCCGGCCAGCCTGGGGCGGCCGGCCCGGAACCACCCGATGAGGTAGGCTGGGTTTCTGGTCACCCTATTTGACAGATTGGAAAACTGAGTCATCGGGATCAGATGATTTGCCCGGGGCTCACTGGAGACCCGGGAACGGAGGCCAGAACCGAGCATCCCGGCTTGTTTGTACGGCCCTCGCCGTCCTCTGGAGAGGAGGAGGGGCTTGGCGGGCTTGTTTATAATGGGTACAGAAGTGAAGTTGCAGATTGCGGAGCCCCTTTTCATCCAAGGTTTGGGTGGGCATTCAGGGGATGGATGCTAGTAGAGAGGTCTCCATTCCTTCAGCCTGCGCAGCCCTCGGTGAAATCAATCCCTCTGCTGGCCCCTTGGGCCCTCCATAGTGACCAAGAATGGTGACTAGGCTGATGCGTGGGCTATAGGAACAAGGTCGGTTACTGACCTCTTTTTTTTTTTTTTTTATTTTCCCCATCAAGGAAAGCTGTGTTCCAAACAAAATTTAAAAATTAAAGCACAAGTCTCGAATGTTCTGGCTCTGGTTTCAGTTCACTGCTTTGCTCACTCATAGGTATCTGGCCATACTTTGAAATCTCAGTAGCATGCTTATTTTTTGGTTTAGGATTAGACAGGGATCTTTTTTTTCCTTTCCTTTAGTTCAAAGATGAGTTAACATTGTGGAACTTTTCTTATTCTCTTAAAGTGCCAATTGATCTTCATGTCATTTGTCTTCTGTTTCACAGACGGAATTACTGAATTCATCACTTGACTTAGTAGTAGTTTGGATAAGCTTAGCTAGGTAACAAAATAACAGGTCAAACCTCTCCATACTAATACTGGAATTAGTTTATCTCAGAATTCTTTGTGGAGAAGAGTTCTGAAAGGTAATTCACATATATATATTCCATCTACCCATACATCCTCATGAAACAAAACATCTTAGGATACCTAAGATGCTTTATTTATGGGTTCTAATAAGGTGGGGCATAATTCATGCTCATAAAGTAAAAATGTGTACTTTATAATATATGTATCCATATATAATGTTTTTGTATTGTCATGAAGAATTCATTCTCTTTAAATCTTTCTGTCTCAGACATTGACCTTTAAGAGTGCATTATTGCATAAAACTGCATTGAAGAAATGAAATTAAAACCGCTTCAGGGTACTTTTCCTTACTAAGGTTCACAGAAGGATGGTTATTATCATTTGACTTTAGTCTTTGGACAAATTTATCTGATGATCTCCTCATCTCTGCCTCATCTTATGCTTTGTATTAGATGTTGAGGATTGAATGTGGAAACCTTTAAATAATAGTCTTGCTCTCAAGACTTTCCATTTTGATGGAGATACTATAAATATATAAACAAAAATGACAATTTTATATAATGATAAATACTAGAAAAGAAATTACCAGGGGCTGGAGCACGACTGGGATGTAGGAGGAAATTTAGATATGGGTGGTCAGGAAAGGTTTCCTTGAGGAAGTTTAGAGATCTGAATGTTTAGAATGAGTCAGCCATGGGAAGATCTGCTGGAAGTTTCCAAGCAGCACTGACAGTGCAAAGGAGCTAAAGGAAAAAGAAGCTTGATATGTTCCAGGGATAGAAGAGAAGCTGTGTGGCTGGAGTAGGGTATACTTAGGGGAGAATGAGGTGGGAGGACAGAAGTGAGGGAAGTGGCGCTCAGAGGTGGGCAGGATTGCGATCATCCCAGTCCCATGTGGGAATTCCAGGCAAAGAATTGTCAAAGCTCTCTTCATTTTTCTTAGTGACATTCATATAATGCTAACCTGGCTTTCTGCTTTATATTGGTTATGAAATCATTGTAGTAAATCACTATATGTTTTTTCACCAGTGATCCTCTTTCTTAATGGAAAAAATGTCTTCTTCCCTCAAGCACTGTGTCCCACACTGTTTCTTTCCTGTTAATTGTTACTATGTGCAGTGCTCTGAGCCTTTACTTATCTTCTGCTTCCTGCTTTGATCCTTCTTACTCCCAACTGCGAGTCCTCTCCGGTAATTATGTGCCAGGCATTCGATCTCCAGTATTTATGTGCCAGGCATTCAATCCCTGCTCTTCTCCAGGCTGAGTTCTAGGAAACTGCTTTGTCAAGTGGATTCCTCTTCTCCATTAGAACTTATCTTACTGGCTAGAGACTTAATGTCTGCCTTTATTTAGTGCCTACAGTATACCAGATGCATTATATACTTTCTGATTCTTCTTTCCTGTTGCAAAGGTAAATGTTATCCTTTCTTGATAGAAGAGGACACTTCTGCATAAGGCTACCACCTGGTACTGAGGGAGCCCAGGTTTGAACACTCCAGTTAGTCTGCCATTGAAGCTTGATCCGTGATATGAAGCTTGATACGTCCCTGAATGTATTACAACAACTCTCTACTCTGAAATTAATATTTTATGAAATAGCACTCTAGAGATCATGATTCAATCCTCTTAGTTTAAAGGTGAGACTGGGGAAGCCTATTCAGTGCTTTATGAGACAGAACTGGCATCAGATTCTCATCCTACTAATTTTCAGCCTAATGTTTTTTCTGCTGTACGTAAACTCCATGGACATTCCATCACAAGGGGTTTTGGTATATAGAGAAATATAATATTTCAACATCATGAACTTACTGTCCATAAACTCATACAAGTCATTTTTTAAAAAGATGAGACAGTGCTTCTTCTTGGGGTAAAATAGCCCCTTGATAGTGATGGTGGTGGTTTAGTCGCTAAGTCGTGTCCAACTCTTGAGACCCCATGGACTGTAGCCCACCAGGCTCCTCTGTCCATGGAATTTTCCAGGCAAGAACACTGGAGTGGGTTGCCATTTCCTTCTCCAGCAGATCTTCTGGACCCAGGAATTGAACCCTGATCTCTTGCATTGCAGGCAGATTCTTTACCAATGGAGCTATGAGGGAAGCCCCAAAACAGCCCTTTACTGTATTTTAATTCACCTTTTCAGCAGTGAGCAGGTGTAAACTTTCTTTGTGAACCTTGGTTTTCTTAGTAGAAAGTTGCTTCAAAATTACTTTAAAATTTACATTTCAACTTCACAAATCTTTGTAGGGAGTTTACAATGTGTTGTTTTCCCAGCTTTAACTGTTTACTTACAAGTATGGGAACATCACTGAGCATTTCCTGGTTCATAGTTTCTGTTGGCAAGTAGGGTTTCTTCCTATAATTGAGGAAGCTGTTGGGCCAGCTCAGGGATACAACTTCTCTTTCTTAGTAATGCATTATCATTTTTAAAAATGAGTCAAAATTCATGTCTAAATTATATTGTTAAAAAGGGGGTCACTTTCTTTCTACAATTTAAAAATACCCATTCTTTATTTCTAAGGTTTGCTTATTTTATTAATTATGATTGGGAAATAACTGATGAATTATAGTAAATTAACAAATCGCTGAATTTACTTTCTGATAGCTTTTTGACTCTCCTGTAAGTGACTCAGATGGTAAAGAATCTGCCTGCAATGCTGGAGACCTGGGTTCGATCCCTGAGTTGGGAAGACCCCCTGGAGGAGGGCATGGCAACCCACTCCGGTATTCTTGCCAGGAGAATCCTGTGGACAGAGGAGCCTGGTGGACTGTAATCCATGGGGTCGCAAAGAGTTGGACACGACTGAGTGACTAAGCACAGCACAGTAACTTAATGGTGATCAACTTTTCTATTAGTCAAGTCAGAATAATGTTACTGGAATTAGTTTGTGCAGCTGACTATACCTTCTGAAGGTCCAAGCTGTCATAATTTGGCCTCAGATTACAGTGCTGTCCTTCCACCATGAACCCAGTGCCCTAAACTGGACTCCTGGCCATTCCAGCTTTAGTGCCATTGCTTGTGCCCTGCCTGCAGCCTGAAATGCGTTCTACATAAACAAATGCAGCCAAAGTTCTGCCTGTGCCACTGTGTCCATCTGTGCTCCTTTCTCAGTGAGCTGTTTCCTTTGTCACTTTAATGGAAGCCTTCTCTTTGACAGCACTTCTGGTAGTCTTGCTCTGTGATGCAGTTTACCAATCTGGATATCTTTGGTAGTGTAGTATATTGTACGTGGGTGTTCAAATATATGTTAACTTGAGCTTAAAAGAGATTTAACAATTTGTTTTAGACTTGAAAAGTTGTTTTTTTTTTTTTTTGTAAATGATAGAGCCCTTTGGTTTAGTTTAGCAACTTCACTTTCATTTTTCACTTTCATGCATTGGAGAAGGAAATGGCAACCCACTCCAGTATTCTTGCCTGAAAAATCCCAGGGATGGGGGAACCTGGTGGGCTGCCATCTATGAGGTCGCACAGAGTCGGACACGACTGAAGTGACTTAGCAGCAGCAGCAGCCTTTTTAGATTTGTAGAACTTTTATTACCTCACCTTTGCTAGAAGCATCTTTAATGCTTTTCTTGGCTTTGATTCAGCAGAACTTCTTTCCTGTTACAGTTAAGGGTCTGACTGCTACAGTTACCAAGGGGTCCCTTGAGAGCCACTCAGATGTTTGGGCTGTAAGTATTGAAGGCACATTGTTGCAAATAAGAATCCATGTTCTCTGTGTTTATGGTTTTGGGAAAAAGATAACAGCAGTTCCACTTTTTAAAAGTGACTGAGAAAACTGAAGCTCAGAGGACGAGTCAGAGATTCCTGCAGTGCTGGGCTACGGAGCTTGATCAGCACTCTTGGTTCACGGCAGCAGGGGCTGTCACTCGTTCTGATGTCCTACCACAGAATTCCTGGTAGCCTCTTAAGCGTATTTCAGCACAGCTGAGGCCTTACTGGATTGTTTGACTTGCTTGGCTAGTGAGCTGCCCTACATCTGGAAGACACCTCTTGTGACTCCAAGTCAAAGCAGGAACTCTGTCCAAGGATCCCCATCTGAGCTGTTTAAGCCCACGGGATCTTCCTGGGCAAGCGTTGGCTGGTATCCGGTTTGGTAGGATCTTTAGTTTAAAGCCTCTCTCTTAGGGCTTTCCTGGTGATACAGTGGTCAAGACTTGGAGCTTTGATGGTAGGAGACATGGGTTCAATCCCTTGCTGGGCAACTAAGATCCCACATGCTGCTCAGGGCAGCCAAAAAAGGTTAAATAAAAATTAATTAATAAAATGAAAAAACAAAACCTTTCTCTTCTACTTCCCCTCTCATCACAGTTTTATAAAAAATATCTTGGGA